TTTTGCCGCCGGCCTGCCAAGGGAATGGCGAAACCCCCCCGTGTCTCAGCCCCACCGCTAACGGCGCAGTCCCGGCGCGGCCGCCGCGGCCCCTCGTCCAGCCCCTCGTGCGTGGGGACCCTGCGTGCGCCGCGGCCGGGTCTCCTCCCTCGCGGTTGTGCAGCACGTCGGGGCGCCGGGAAGCGTTACAAAGATTGTCCTTCCCCTTTGCATATGTCTCGATAGCATGCTATACAGTGTACTTCGTAATAATGGAGTTTTCATCTAATTTTTTGTGCATTTTTTCCCCTTTACGTGAAGACCTTACCTGTTTGGAGCAGGATGTTTTTCTATAAAAGCTCCCTGGTGAGTTCCCAGTTCAATCCCAGCATGCCTATAAATCATTTGCAATACTCACTGAAAATTAACTGTGTTAAGGCTTTTTCATTTTTTTTGTTTGTTTTCTGCATGGCTGATCCATAGGTGGAAGCACTGCATCATTCACTTTTAAACTATGGATGTGTATTTACCAGCAAGCATTGTGAAACCAGTGTGCTCACTGTTTCCTTTTTTTCCTTTCTTTTATTTATTTATTTTCTAAGTCTTTGAGGGGGACATGTAACTTATAAACAAAGAGAAGTTGAAAAAAGTGAAAATATTACCCACTAGGCAAAAATGAATGCAATACCTTTCCAAAACAGGTCTCTTTCTTATATATAGCTTCCATTATTGTATCAAGTGAGCACTAAGTTGCTTACAGACAGAAAACGTCAATGATGGTCTCTTGATAATAAAGCAGATAGTAATGGACAGACAGTGAAGTAACAGAGATGAAGTAAAGTAAGCTAACCACAAAAATTGTTACAAAAAAAGCTTCTAAAAAAAAAAACACAAAAAATGTTTCTTGGAGTATTTTAAATAATAAAATATTTTGTTTTAATATGCAGAATTGCAACCTATCACAAGAAGACAGACAGAATAATGACAGTCTTACCAAGCTTCTCTGTGGTGCAACTTGATTTATTGCTCAGTGCTACGTAATCTTCTAGTCATCTTTCTATGATAATGTGGTGGTTAAAGATTTAGACAAGAAAAATTTTAGAATTTTGAAGATATTAGCTTTTTTTTTTTTTAAAAAAAAGAGTTTTAGCAACTTGTAGCTAGGAGTTTGTTTTGAGTTCACCTGAAGATCTGTGTCAGCTATAGCTGTGAATGTGTGGATGTGGTTCTTGGGGCTACTCTTAAGAGTTTGCTCCACATGTATCACCCCCACTTACGGCTGTGTCAAAATATTTTCTTCAGCAGAGAGCGCTTCTTAAGAGCTTCGTTAAAATACCAGATTCATAAGAGAATGGGAGCGTGTAGTTATTGAAGGGTTAAGGAAAGCTGGGAATGGGATCGCCATAGCGGCATCTCGGCCAGGCCGGGCACGGACACTTGTCAAGCAGCAGTGATTTTAGGTTGAAACAGGACTGAAACGCCTAGATTAGAGAGAGGAGTGTAGGAAATAGACTCAAAAATCGTTGCTTTTCTTTCCCAAGACTCTTTTGTGGTTTGTGTAGTGCCAGTGCTAGCTCAGGAATATGGTCTCTACTGGTCTACAGAGGAATTGGGATTAAATACACGCTTTGGGCAGGGAAGAAGTCATGTTGTTTCCATTAAAGTCTTAATGAGACCTAAAATTATGTAAACAAAAGAATGGAGATTTGACAGCTTACTGCCTGTTGAATAAAAGAGCCTACGTTTTTTCCTTTTTTCCTTGTTTTATTCATGATTTAGCAATTGGAAACGTCTTTTTTTTTTTTTTCTTGTTTTAGGCACAATAATAAGTGAATTTATTTTACATATTTTGAGAAAGGGTGCTTTTTTAGTATTTTTATTAATGTAATGGCAAATTTCTTGTGTGTATTTTTCTCCTAATGCTTCTGCTGCCACTTATTTAGCCTCGATAAAACTTTTAGCCTCAAAAAGCAAGTATCTTGCCATTTCAGAGTCTTAATGATTGATCAGCATAGAAAAGTGCTTATAGTTTTATTGATCTGATGTATTTGAAGCCTGTTTGTCCTATAAAACTAGCTTAAGACTGCCAAGTCCCTGAATTTTTTGTTGATGTGTGACAAATTGCCTTTTTTTAGTTTGTTCCTATCTTTTTTAGGCTATTCTGGTACCAAATGCTCGTCTCGTTTCTCCTTGGCCGTGCATCCATGTATATCTTGGTGAGGGTGTTGTCACCAAGTCAGGCTGTGATTCAGGAGTGTGTTCGTGTGGAGGTTTGCACTCTGGCAAGGTTTCTTCCAAACACAGATCTAAGTTTCTTAAGGAAATATAAATATTTATTGTATAGTTTTTCTGTTTCTGCTATAGACAGCTACTTTATCTTTAAAAAAAAAAAAAAGGTTGATTTTAGAGTTTTACTGGAAATCTTGAGAAATTGTTGCCTGCTGGGCCCTTCGTCTTGTGATTTGAGCCCAGAACCAGGAATGGAGAGCTCTCAAACTCCGTTATCCAGATGCTGCTGTTCAACTGGAGTACTTTTATGTGCTTCAATGTCCCTGCATTTAAAATGGGAATAATAGTCTAAAATGAATTCCGAGAGTTGTCTCAGCATCAAACGTTGCCTCCAAGGTCTTGCCCTTCAGCTGGCGCTTGGGGCTCTTGGTAGGAGATTTTGTCACTGTGGTCAGCTGGGCTGGGTGAACCTTGGGAGAGGGTCCCCGCGGCGCAGCCGGGTCCCGTTCCTGCTCCGCGCTGGGACACAGCGCTCCTTGGATCCGGGCGCAGGAGACCTGGGTCTCTCCCAAACGGAGCTTTGGTTACACAGTTGGGTAGACCCAGGTGCTCCCTGGCTTTTCAGCGTCCCCATGTCCTGCGCAGTGCTGAGCCTTCCTTGGTGCACAAGGTGGGAATGAGGAGGGTCAACGTTTTGGTCCTGTTCACTGAACTTTCTCATTGGATTTGCAGTGACTTCCCCAGACAGTTGCTCTTCTGCCTGCATCGTAGCCACTTCCACTAAAGCACAGCCTGATATTGTGAGCGTTAGTGTATTGTAAAGGTTCATTTAAATGAACCGCCTTTAAAAGAGAGGCCAAATGTGCCTGATTTCGGTCCTTGCAATAGTTTATGAAGTACTGACAGGCTAAGAGCCAGGAAAGAACAGAAGTTCACAGTAGAACCGAATCATTCACCGCCTACCTTCATCATCGTTGCTTTGTTTTCTTTTATGAAGCCGAGAGGGTGTTTGCATCTACATAATAATTAGGATTTGTAGTCTCCAAGTTGTTAAAATATCCCAGTGATGTGAAAATGCTTTTTCTAATGGCACTACTGCTGTTGAAAATAGCTGGGCTGTTGAGGTCTACTGAAAGAAGTTTGAATTAGAAGGTATGGATGAAAACTCAGGGATGAAGTGAAAGGGTGATAAAATGAAAGATTCCTTAGCTACAAAAGTGTTCAGTATAGACTTGTTGACATCACTGGAGTGGTTTTTTTTTCAGGAATACAATAGACTTGTTGACATCACTGGAGTGGTGTTTTTTTTTTCAGGAATACGTCTAAGCCAAAATGATGCACTAGTAGTTCTTGTTCGTTTTTGTAGCAGAACTAACTTTAACCACATGAGTAATCATGTTTTACAAGGTCTGCTCTTTCTGTCTACAAAACATCATTCTTAAATGGAAAATGTTTTGGCACTGAAACCAACACTTAAATGCGTGCCTTGAAAGATGTGCGTTGTAAAGACATGGTGTAAATAGAATGTAGCTTAGCCTGTTTTCTCTAAGGCTGTTTCCATGTGTATTGTGACAAGCAAAGATCTTGGGGACTAAGAGCATGGAGAACCCTGTAAAGATTTCATACCTTACTGTTAGGGGACCAATTTCACTTCTGCTTAAATGCTTAAAGAAGCTGTTGAAGTCAGCTCCATCTCTCAAAATTTATTCCAGTTTGTAGCTGAGACCAGAATATTCCCAGATGGATTTTTCTCATTTTAAGCATTTTTAATAATCTCAGACGGTGTCATATAAATATTCAGAATATGACAATCATATAGAATATTCTTTTTACAAGTGTCTCCTAAGAGAAAGTGAATATAGCTGAATCATACCTGTGCTCCTTGTTTGCTTTGTATTGACTGAGGGGCAGCATTATCTTTTGGGATAATACTGCCCTACACTAAATACAATCAGTTATTGATTGAATGATAGCTCAGCAAGTGGCAGGACACTAGTGCATACATCTACATTTTTATTTCTGTAGGAATACTGCTCATATATAATGTATGATTGTATTTGGAAGGTGAGAACTAAAAATGGTTACTGATACTGTTGCAGAATGGTAAAGAAAAGTAAAATTTCAAAGTGAAATACACCTACGCTGTTTTTTTCTGAGTTGCTAAAATACTAATATATTAATATCAATTTAAATATTCTAATATAGATTGTGAAGAGCCCCTGTAAACAAGGTAATAGACTGACAGTTGGGAAATTTTGGAACAGTTTTTTGATCAGGTAGCTTACACTGCTAGTTGGAAGGGGCCTTTGAGGTGCCTCAGGACCAGGTTACGGACTCGAATGCATTTGCTTCTTGTGCCATCCTGGTGTCTCGTGTACGTACGAGAGCTCCAGGGCTCGTGTAAATCTGCTGAACTCGGTCTGAGTCTTTCCATGGACCCCGGTCAGCGTTTGGAGTCCGTTCCAGAGGCCTTTCCGTGCAGGGAGCCGTGGGCTCTCTAGCAACTCCTGCTCGGAGCCTTTCTGCCCACAGCCCCACACAAACAAGCGGCCTTTTCTCCCGTTTTTGCTAGTGTGTTACACACAAAGTAGACACTTCAGACTGAGCTCAGGTTGGAGGCAGTTCTAATGTTGCAAGTTGCATGGAGGTGATGGTGGCAAGGGTGTTCTTAACCACAGCCGTGTTTTCCCTATGTCATTTACTGGGTGTAGTTGCTGGAAAGAAACTGTGTTTGTAATCAGGGCCAATTTTACCCTATAGTTCAGGACGGAGTTTAGAGGACCAAGCTGTAGGTCTCCGGGCAGGTCAGGTGCAGAAATTTCAAAGTAGTCCAGCTTGCACCTCTCAGACTTCTTTTGTGCTAAACAAAGGGTGAAATCTTGATTTAATGAATGGAAAAAGGCAGTATTCTTAGAATTTATATAAAATAGAATGTATCAGTGTTTTATTATCCTTAGACTCCTGTAAATAGTTTTGCTTTTGAGAGGTTGGTTTCACCTATTATAAGCTATCCGAACTCTTGCTTTAAAACTGCAAATATCTGCTACGTGCACATCGTGGTGTTTCACAAGAGAAGATTTATTAATCTATTTTTTATGATAAAATTACTGCTTTGTTTTAGCATAACACATGTGTCTGTGCTTTGTTTCCATTTCCCTGTATCCTCCGCATGTCGCTTCCTCACCCTTTGGCCATGCCGTGTATCTCCTAGTGTGCTCCGTGGCCCCGGCTCTGCCAGGCTCTAACTGCTCCGCGGGAGATGCTGTCATAGGTAGCTTCTGAAAACGCTAGAAAATGGCAAAAACTAGGAAGACTGACCCACATTCTAGATTTTCATTCTCAAAGGACTTCACATGAATACAAATATTTGTATTCACTTCATTTGTGAGTTGTTTGTATTGAAAGCAGATGTTAAATATGGGTTCTTCCAAGCAGTTGGAAAAATTTTGCATTATTATGCTGTACTTCTCTTAAAGTTAGTACATACAGTGGTCAAGGTGAATTTGGGACCTAATATCTAGAAATTCAAAGTATCTATAAACCCTCGTATGTCCTATGAGAACTGCAGATACTCAACATTTTTGAATTAATATCTTAGGATGACTTTTAAGCAAGGAGCATCATAATTATTGGGAATTAACTGTGATGATATTATTTTGTTCTTTCTTGAAGCAAAAGCAAGCCAGCTCCACAAATTTCACCCAGCAAGTCTGTGGGAGGAGAGTTTTGTGTCGCTGCAGTCTTTGGATCGTCAAGATCCTGGTTTGCCAACAATCCTGGTCTGAAAAGAGAAAAAGGTTTGTGAACCACAAAAATAGAAATTGGATTTAAATTGAGTTCTCTGTTTTTCCCTCATTTTGTGACAATCTATGAGCACATGGTGCATATTTCTTATTTTGCTCCTTAAACTCAGTGCCAGTAGAGATTTTTGGGAATGTGCAGTTGCAGTGCTTTCAGTACAATAACACAATTTACAAGAAATATAAATTAGTGAAAAGAGTCTTTGATCTTTCATGGTATGATGGCAAAAAAGAAACTTTTTGGTGGCTCAGTGCAAAGATATTGTGTGAAATTTTCCAGAACAAGCAGCACTAGAAGGGTGAAACACCTTTCCTGCAGTGCCTGTCTAGACATACCTCTAGCAATGTGTAATGACCCAAACAGACTTGAGAGAGTCCATTCCACCTAGTTGTATGTGTGGCATTTATATTTTTGGCAACAAGGTAAAGATTAATTGTGATTTGTACACTTTGCTCTTTGTCCAGCCTTTCTCTTGTTTTAATTTATGTTCCTGATGACAAGGATCTAAACAGCAATAAACTTAAAACGATTATGTATCTGCTTTGCTGTAAATAACTTTCTCTTTTGTGATTCAGATATGCTGTTAATGAGGTTTTCTGTTTCTTCTTGCAAATAGATCAATCCAAACAGTTTGTAGTGGAATCCTTGTACATTATCAGTTGTTATGGCAGCCTGGTGGAACACGTGTTGGAGCCGCGTCCTCTCAGCACTGCTCCCAAGATCAGTGATGACACGCCCTTGGAAATGGTGACGTGCCCCAGAGCCAGCTGGACGTTGGTTAGGTAGCAAATTCCCTTTTTCCTCTCTTTATTCTCGTCCAGAAAACTGTCGTGAACTTTTCTTGAAAGGGGAAGAATGAACTGCATCAGGACTTCCAGGCTTTTTTTATACCTTAGAGTCCTACAATTTTCCCTTGAAAAGAGGACTCCTCATAGCAAAATTAAGACTAACTTTTCATGCAGTTCTGTTAGCGGCTAAGTGTCTACATGGGAGCTAACCATTTAAATACTTTGGTAGACCTGGAGCTACATGAATATGTTTTAAATCAATAGAGAACCTTATCAACCAGTGATTTTAAATAATCAGGATATAATTTAGTTTTTAATATAATTTAATTATAATTTAGTTTTTTATATAATTTAATTTTGATAAAAATAGTAGAAACAATTATTTTAAGTGTTAAAATATACAACTGGGACATGAGATGTGCATGAAATTTTCAAGATTAGGCGAGATATCCTGTAAATAGCTGGAGGTAGCATTTCTCAAGATAGTTGCAGAAATTATCCCTGACATGTGGAAGAAAGTAAACAAAAATTGATGGGAAACTGTTGTCAGTGATTTTGACGTTTTAAAATATTTTTCCATTGATTTTTTTTTTCCTTTCTTTTTTTTTCTCCCCGCTTCTTGGCTCCCATATTCCTCAGTGCTGCTCATTGCTAGACTATATTGATCAATACTTGATTTACCAAGCTATTTAGGAATGGCCCACCCTAATTAAAATTACAACACAGACTTCTAGACCATTATTGTTGAAATGAGTAGGTTGTAATGGAATTGAAAATTCTAATTGGATCAATAGTCCATAACTTTACACAGCTTTATTTTCACAGTTTATAAATGCTCAATTGACTTTACAGTATCGAAGCAATGCTAGTTAACAGAACAAAAAGTTCCCTGGGTTCTGTTGCGTGTTAATATTAAATAATGTTAGCAAGACATATGATGGTCCTAAACATATTTACCAAGTTGATCTAAACTGCCTTAACTTTTTTGTGCAGTATCTATCGTGCAGTCAACAACGGCACATTGGTCGTGCTCTTCAGCTGCCTGTGGTATATTCCAGTGTTTGAACAAGCTAATTTAAATAATTACAAACATTCTGTGAGCTAGTATAGATAATTACATGTGATGACAGAAACACTGATTTACATTCTCTGCATTAGCTGAAATATTAATAGTCTTGTGTTTTACCTCAGAACTCCTCAGTGGAATGAGCTCCAACCACCATTTAATGCAAACCATCCCCTGCTCCTGGCGGCAGATGCGGTGCAGTACTACCAGTACCTCCTCGCTGGCTGTAAGTAGCTTGGAGCTTTCTCTTGTCCTAGGTACACATTTTAAGCTACAAATGTGACTTTCTGAAAAGTTTTTCATCATGCATTATTGCAACAAGGTGGTTCAGGAGAATTTATAAAAATTTATGAATGTACAAGCAAGGGCAGAGTGTTGGTACAAGACATCAGTGGAATGAGATGAAGATCTGGAGACATCTTACTGTGACAGGCTTATTTTAGAAATGTAGCTGTGTATTGGGATAGATAAAATATTTCCATGGCTTTCCATTATAAATTCCCACACTGATTAGAAAAGCATCCGTTTATAACTCAGCTATAAAATTTTGCTGCAGGTTAAAATACATCTTAAAAAGCTGAAGTTCAGTATGGAATTTTTCTTTTTTAATGAAAACATCTGCTTAAGCTTACATGACAAAAGTCTTCAAAAGGATAATAGATTTTTTTCTTTTCCCTTGGTTAATTTTATAGTATGTGGAATTTTGGTGGTCAAGTTTATGATACAGTTTACTAGCTTTGAATTTTCTAACTTCTAAAATTCCAAACTTTTCTAATGTTTCTTTGCAACTGAGCCAACTGCAAGTTGCTTAACATGTTAAAAAATGCATGCATCATTATGTGAAGTAAATACATATGTCATAGCATATGTCATTATACCGATACCATGTACGTGTATATATGGAATGATCAGAAAGTTTGTAATATTCAGATTTTGTTTAATAATGCACCAAAAACCATTGTATTAAAATATGGTAAACTATAGAAAAAGGGACAACATACAGGTAGTGTAGGGTACCTCCAGAATGTCAACTTATGTTGAGTAGATGTGTGTTCTATAGTATAACTCATCCTTAATTGGGAATGCTTTAGTTTTTTTCCAGTCATGCAATAAGCCTTATTCCCTGGAGAAGGCCAGTACTTGGAAGGAAAGTGTTGTACTGAAAAGTGGGGAAGTGGCGGGCACCCCTGCCATGGCAGGAGCTTAGATCTGCAAGCATCAGGGCACCAGGAATCCACACTGATTTCAATAGCAATTCCCCCACAACAGGGATTCCTGTAATCAACTCCGTTCATAACGGTGGAGTAACAGGGGCTGTTTGATGAGAAGCGAAGCAGGAGGGAGCCAACCACCTACCCCAAAAAGTGAGTGTTTGGCAGGTCCTGCAGGTGAGACCCGTTGCAAGGCCTGAAGTCTTGAGGGTTTCTTCACCTCCCTTCTCTTGCTTTTAGCTGTCTCCTCTCATGAATTTGATACTGAGTGACAACTGAGTGATGCTGCGTTTTCCCATTCCCCTGGAATTCCTGATTGCTGGGCCAGTTTGAGCCAGAATCTCAGAACCTTGGCATCATTTCCAGGGATATCTCCCACCTGCTCCATTCCGTGCTATCCAGTGCATTGTTTCAGGGAGCCCGTGTGTTTGCATTGCATATGCAGAAACTTTTCGTATACATACATATATACCTTTATGTATTATGTATACACACATGCAGAAATACATACGCATTTGTATGTTCTTTGTGTTTTATTAATTCAGGAAGGAGAAGAATATTAATAGTAAATAGCAAGTCTCTTTTTTAAAACTAGTGTGGAGTCAAGATGCAAAATGATAAAATCATCTTAAAGTTTCACAGGGGAACAACTCTTGACATTTATAAAGGTGCTCATGGGAGAACTAGACCCTGGGCTCACTTGCCAGCGCGGCTAATGCCAGCATGTTATGTGACCAAGGCATTTAAAATGCAGAAGTGGACATCTGGGCCCAAGGAAACCGTGTCTGAGTGTGACTGGTACCAGCAGCCCTGGTGCCAGATTAGATCTGTTGCTTTTACCTGCCCATCTGTTGCATGGGAGCCGAGGACGTTGCGGAAGCTGACAGGGCGAGACCACCTTGGCGGCCTCTTGGCCGAGGGAATGTTCACAAGGCTCAAGATCCACCTGCCACTTGTGCCTATGGAGGGGGGGTCATTTCTTCCATGTTTGTTTTAGTTTGCGTGCCTTTTAGCTTCCGTTGAAATGGCAAGTAGTGTGTTGCACAGATAAGGTCAGAACAGAAAAAAATAACCTTCTGAGAGCATTAACGTTCATAAATATGTATTACACTCATCTCGCTGACTGAATCAGGGATGGATGTGATTCCTTTGTGCAAGTCATTAACAACTTAAACACTCTGTATTTCTAATCTTTTTGTACTGAAACTTTTTGAAGAAGAACGTGTTAATTGATGGCTCAGTGCTGCCAATAATGAGCGTGCAGAGGGGGCCGGGACGCCCGCGGGTCCTGGGTTAGCGTTTGTGCAGCGCAGAGCTCCCTGCCCCGTCACCTGCCGCCGCGCGCCCGGCCGGGCTCTGGCGCTGTCGCTCCCCTCGCTGCGCTCAGTGGCAGCAAATGCCCTCAGAGGGGTTTCGGGTGAGTGTTACATCTGTGCCTGCCACGTTCGAGGTAAGAGGAGCCCTGGCGCCGTCTCAGGGTCACTATTTGTATCTGTCCATCAGAGCCGGGATGCGGGCGCTCCTCCCGGGCGCTGTCTAGCGTTTCTGCCGATTGTTCGGCTCCATTAAGTGCGCGGGGAAACAAAAGCCTGAATGACCAAGTCACCAGGGGCTGGCACAGACCCGCTCTTTGTCTGCCCTCGGAGCAGTGCATTAGGTCTCATTATCCATTCATAACGCGCGACCTCTGCCCCGCGGGTCGCTGGAAACTCCCTGTGCGCCTCGGAGCACAGAGCACCTCTGTGAGCGGCCCCGCGGCCTCCCCGGAAACGCACCATCTGCCAGCGCGCGGCGAGGACGGCGCTTGGGCACCCTTCACCTCACAGCGGGGCTCCCGTAGGGCTTGACAGCGATACCCGCAGCTAACAAGGAAGCAACCAGGAGCCACCGTTTGAAGAAAGGCTCGGAACAACAAGTGCCTGAGCCCTTTCTCCCGGGGCGCCTGGAGCTGGATTAGCACAGCTGTCTCGCTGCGAGGGGGTCGGCCGTGACATCTGCTGCCCAAACCTGGCGCTGGGGGTGCAGCTCGCTCCCACGCGCGGAGGCGGGACAGGGGCCCTCGGCCTCCAGGCCAGCCCGCTGCTCTGAGCCCCTCGTGGGGCAGGTTTCGTCCTGCAAAGCCCTGTGTGTGCTACAGACTTTGCGTCTTCCATGTTAGGTGGTAGTCACAGGTGCTAGCGGTTTCTCTTGTGTCCCTGTCCAGTTTAACATGTAGTATTTTACCTTTATTTATGTCTGTGCTGTACTAGTGTTCCCTCTTTATGTGTGTTCTGGACAACTCCCAAATTTCATGACCTTAAAGGAAGGAAATGTGGTCACATTTTGTTGTTCTTAATGCATTTTTCCGATAAGGTAAATCCTCTGCACCGTTGCTGCCGTTCGCAGCAGCCCTGACAGTGCAAGGAGAGTTTTGCTCAGCACTGCCCACGTAGGAGACTTCCTTATGGCCCAGGGAACTTGCAATTTATAGAGCTGGACTTCCAAGAAATTCCAAGATTCAACGTTATTTATTCTTCAGATGCTACTTCCTTCCTACTAATTCTTCTGCTTAATTTCTACTAAGGAATTAGGATGCTTATAGCAGTGTAAACTGCTGCTACAGTCTGCTGAGGGCTGCTGTGTGTGTGTGACCATCAGCTGTTTGAATTCAGGCTTCTTTCCAATGAATACTTCTGTTTCCTCAGTGTAGCCTGAAGCCTTGTGTATTGGATTGACTTAATGTCTTTCCTTCTTCTAACTTCCGTACCTTTCCTTTTTGTGTATTTGAATTTATGTGCATGCTGTGTAATTGATTTGTAATGAAAACAGATAACTTTGAATACCAGCAGAAATTCTTACACCCTAATTTCATACTCCTTGTTTCCTTTCTTCTCCTCTTCCATCACTCTGGAGGAATGGACTGTAGTTATTCTCAGACATCTGAAACCCCTGCAATTAACACTTGGGGAAAAAATAAAAGACCTCTAAATCAGAACAAAAGCTGCCTGAAATGGATATTGAGTAACGTGAGTTATGAATTCTCCCTTCTGGCTGTGGAGAGGGCCCCTTCACACTCAGACCAAGACTTTTGGTGCATCAGGATCAGCTTTGCAGGGAGGACCTGCAGTGTCAGATCTCGGGCCAATGACAAGAATTAATATATTAACTAGTATGCAGTACTCTTTGACAAATTGCTTACTAAATACATCAAAATTGATTGGACCTTTTGTGTTTAAATTGACAAATGACTGCATTAGGGGAAGGAGGGAAATCCATTAATTACAGCTGCCCTCAACCATAGGAAATGTAATCGTATAAATATAGATTTTGTTAAAACAAAAGTCTTTACTTTGCTATAGTGTTGCTGGTAAGTGTACTTGCACCTCTTTGCTATTAAGCCTCCAGTAGGAGGTTTTGAAGACAGATCTTAGCAATTGACTTAAATAATCAAAGACCACTTCTGTTGTGTTAAAAGGAATGATGCAGTGTTCTTTATCCCGCTATGACCACTTCTGGAAATTGGGTTTTTCTCTCTGAGAAAAATGGGTATGTAGCTGAGGCTTCTGCTGTCTCATTAATTGTTTATTCTGAATGCCATGTAATTCATATTCCACAGTTTGAGAATTAAAAAAACATGGAATGATCCTTTCCTCAGCCAGGGCTCTGTCTTCTCATTCTTTGTTCTTGCACTGATCCCCGAGTAAGTAGTGCTTGCATGGCTCTTATTTCATGTCTGAGTAAGAATTTGCTTTTGAGTTAGGCCTGAAGATACCAGTTTTATAGTCTTTGTTAAGGGATTCTTGAAAAGATTAAGGCCTATATTTATGGCTGCCTTTGTTGCAACAGGTTTTCATTTCTGGACTAACTGCTGTTTGTATCTTGTGTTTTGCTTAAATGGCTTTGATAAGAAGTTTAGGCTCCTAACTGTTCATTGTCTTCAAAGGGATGGGATACACCCGTTTTCAGTGTGTGTTTGAGCTCAATCATAACATTATTTACATAGATAAATCCAAAAACTCTGACATCATGTTCATGGCTCCTGCTCACTCTGCTGAAAGCCCTGTGTCCTGAGCAAGATTTGTGTCCCTAAGCACCATTGCAGCTATTGCCAGTTTTATATTCGTTTTATACATTCCGCTGATGGCCATACAATTCCATACACGCAGCGGGTGCGTATCACGCAGCGGAGGCAAGCGTGTGGCTTGAGCACCTCGTGGGTATGTGCTGTAGGGCCCTGAAACCGCCCGGCCGCGTGTGCCGTGGCCTCCTCTGCGGGCTTTGTGGGGGGACGCTGCCGTGGCTCCCTGTCCACGCGGCTCCCCGTCCCCTCTCCTCAGCAGGTGGCTCTAGCAATGGCCTTGGGGACGCGGAGCCGCCCCGCGCGGCCGTGCTGCTCCTTTGTGCGCAGCTGAGCTGCCGTGGCCCGGCTAAGGACGTATGGTTAGCTCTGCTATCCAGGTGGGAAAATACCTTCCAGTATTTTCCACATTCTCTATCTGCCACTATTATTCTTTCTGCTTGAAATTGTCCCCAGCTAGCACATTCTTTTCACAGAATGCTTCGTTATTGCCACGTAATAAAAGAATGCGACAGGATACATCAATTTAGGATGCTTATTACCTTCCCACTGTTGCAGTGGTTTTCTGAAGTTTTTAGAAAACATTGCATTTTTACTGTATCTAGTGTTTTATTTGATCTTGTATTTTCAAACTGTCATCACTTGCAAGTTAGTGACAAAGTAATCTGTATCTCTTTTATTGACAATTTGTGTTTTGCTGGTATTAGTCTCAAACAGTGAAAACGGAAATTTCATGTCTGCTTCTTGCTTTTCGTGGGATAAAAGTTTGCAAGCTAATGTGGATCACTTTCCCATTTATAGACAAAGAGGGAGAGAGATAGGAGAGATGTTTTCAGTGGAAGTTGCAGTTCATGATCTTTTAAAAGGGAAACTAAATTTCCCTAAAACTGTAACCTGCCCTTCCTGCTCCCTACAGGAAATGGGATTAAGTGGTAAAGGGAAGCAAATTTAATTTCTGAGTATTGGACTGATTGGGGTAAATAGAAACAGGACAGGTATCATTTCATTAAAAAGCTACATCACTGCATATAAGCAATGTAGTAAATCAGGGGAGGAATATATAATATATTCTTTACTCAGAACTGTTATTTAGGTAATAATATAGATAAGACAGATAAAAATTAACCATGTAATATTCAATGGCCGTTGCAAATGTAAGTTTTAAAAACTTGTGTATACCTGAACATGTACATGGTTTTGATAGATTACTCAGTACTTACACATTTTAATCCATATTTTATATACTGAATGCTGGAAACAGTGCCGAATATAGGAATTAAAATACTTTCAGATGTGTACAAACAACAATAATGAACAAGGGCACATGCTGAAACAGTTCTTTACCATTCCTACATGGTCATCTGGAACTTCTTAGAGAGAGGTCCATCAACACGAAGGGGTCAGTTTTCAAAGCAGTGTACAGGGATTTAGCCGCGCGACTCCTATTGACGTTAATGGGAGTCAAACGGGTAAATCCCCACGCACCGCTTTGAAAATTTACTACTAAGCCTCCTGACTTCTCACTACATACTTTGATTGTAACAGTAATCCATGGTTAACATAATTTTCCCGACAATAATGTCAAACATACTTTTGAAGTCAGTGAATTATAGAAATAGTTACCTCTTCCATAATTCTTTAAAGATGGCCATCAGATGGATTTCACCATAGGTTCTTGCATTTAAAATTATTCTTTAACCCAGGAAAGAGTAATATATGTGTCGTCCTTTGGTACAGAACCGAGTGTCTGCCCGGTCGGAGTGTTTAAAGTGTTGCATGGCCTTAAGATACTCTGTGCTCTAAGTAATGTCATTGATTCTGGCTCTGCCTGGCTTTAGGTGATCCCTTCCTCGAGCAGTTCCCTGTGGGAGCTCGGGGAAACGCTGGAGCTGGGCACAGCGAGCGCTGCGTGTCCTGCGGCGGAGCCCGGCTCCGTGTGCCCGGCCATGGGATCTCGCACCAGGGCAAAGTCAAGGGCAAGTAAAGCAGTCATCAAGCCTTGGGAAAATCCGAGGAGAATTCATGTGCTGCTTACACTGCTAACTAGTCCTTTAAGATTAAAGGCGGACGCAGAGAATGGATTTCTTTATGTCTATAAAGCACCTAATAAACTGTGGTCAATTTACAAATAATGGATGAATAAATCTGTAAGTCAACTGGTGCTGTGAAATAACTGTTAGGCTGGCTAAACTATCCTAGTTTACAGGGTTTTTTAGCATGATTTTATGATGTTCATGTGTATAAGAATCTCAGAAACGGGGAAAAAATTGACTGGGGAAGACTTCAGAGTGAAAGAGGATAGCCGCACAGAGCCCATCACCAGAATGCAAACAGTTTATTTTAAACGTGGCTGTAAGAATTCTGCCTGAAAGGGCAATCCGCCCTTGGCTTTCTCGCCAAACTTCAGCCCAGCGGAGCCGGCAGCGGGAGCCCGGTGCTGCAAGGTGCTGCAAGCGCTGCCGAGCGGGTGCTGCGCGAGGAGCTTCCTGCAGCCAGGCACCTGACTGCTCCCCAAACCGGCTCCGCGGGAGAGAGATCCCTCCTTGAGATAGGAAACAAACCTTGGACCTGCAGAACTGCACAGAAAGTGGCTGTGCACGGACCCGACGCAGAGCTGTCGCATCCCGCTTCTCGAGCGTGACGTGATGTAACCAATGCAGCAGTTGTTCCGAAAGTAGCATGAAGTAAATCATTCAAAATGTGGGCTTTAATGTTAAAGGAAGTATTCCTGAAGCATGCTGACAAGCATGTGATTACCTTGGGTCTCTGTACCACCTAGGATCGCTTTCGATGCAACTTAAAAACCACAGAAACAGCATCAGAATCAGATGCGAGTGTGTGATTTGTACGAGGCCTGTGCTGGGCTTGGTGGGTTTTCGCATACCTGTTTCCCATGAACATCACGAGGGAGCCTGCATAAACCAAGGAGACGCTTTGGACTTGATGAATTAGTTGAGACTACGTTGCTTTTCTTTCGACTAGCTTGTAGAGTCTTATTTCATTTCCATGAGAGGTTTTGTGGATCCAGCTGAAGCGAAGGAAGGTTTTCTGGAAGGGCCTGCGTGTGTATGACAGCAAATACTCTTTAGAGTCTCCAAATGCCTTTGTTAGCTCTTAATTTGGACAAACATACACGCCTTAGAGAAGAGCACATTGGGAATTTCATATGCAACTCAATTAAATTGAATTGTGTAAATCTTGTTTATATAAATGAGAAAATTAAAACCTTTTGGTTCAAAAAACTACAGAAAACCAAGTAAAACTAATGATTTATTGTTCACAAATTAAAACCAGAAGTGCATGCACAACAATTGAGCTGTACTCGCTCTTTGTTCCAGCACTGCTCTGCTGTTGAAAGATGACAATTTATAATCTTTGAATGAATAAGCATTTGTCTTAGGTCTAGGTATTTATTGTATAATTGGCCCATCTCTGAACAAAAGGACCGTTAATTCCAGTGTTTGCCAGCCCTGTGTATCAGTCTAAGTTTTGCCCATTTGTCAAGAATGTCTAGGCAAATTATTTCTGAGTTTAATATTCATTATTTGCTTTATTTGTGCACTAAATATTGTGGCAGAGTTTCAACAAAAAGGTTTTTTCTTAATTATTAAACAGCAAAATAAGACCTGGAGTTCCGGAGGAAAATCAGCTCAGCTGTATTTCAGCCATTGTTTTGTCTGTGAAACTTACATCTTGCCAGTCACTTCGGTGTTTTTCCTGAGCTTTAAGAATTATCCTGCAAATGATCAAATTAGTAATTAGTTTTTGTTTTTAGATCCTCTCCTTAAATAATCTTTCTTCAATATAGTAGGAATATAGTACTTTAATTGGAAATGGCCCCATAGCTGGGGTTGCTTTCAGATATCCTTTTGACAAAAAACAGGATGAAAATCTCTTTATTCCATATAGTATCCAAATTCATGAAAAAACTGTGGTGTTTATACTATAGAGGCGCCGTTCTGTATTTATGGTTACAGTTGTGTCTGCTTTGCCATTATAAACTCTTATTATTAGGGGTTTATAACACGGCTGTAAAGATTTGTAGAGGATGGGAACTTGACACAAAAAGGTTAACCCTATAATAATCTACTTTTTAATAATCAATTTTTAAAAGTTAGATCACTTTCAGATTATATGACTATAAAAACAGTGCATATAATTTTAGGATTGTCCAATGTCTTAACACCGTAGCATAAAACTCTTTTGTCTTATCAAAATAACCTATATTATATTCACTTCTTTTAGCTTGCATTGATGGTGTCTTTTCTTATTACTGTCATAAAAATATTGTTGCTGTTATAAAAAGGTGACATTAAGATTGTTATAAGACACTTCCAGTCGAACTGAAAGAAAATATACTGTAAAGCCACATTTAAGTTAATGATATCAAAGTTAAAATGAGTGATCATTCTGTTAACGAAATCTCAGAACTTCTCTGCGCTCAATGTCAGTAAATGTAGCAGGGCTTCAGCATGGCCTTTGGGAGCAGGTTTATTGGAGTTCTCCTGGGGTGGGCAGGCTGAAAAGCTTGTAGAAAAGTCTTTACATCCCTGTTGGTGACGTTTCTCCCTGCTCAGTTCCTTAAGACACATGGTGGTTGTCTATATTGGAGCTGTTGGGTGTCTTCATGACACACTTCAGCTTAATAGAAAAAGAGCAAGTTGTGTTATCATAGTGTCTGTATATAGATTCAGATTTTAGGAGTACAAATGTCTTAACTGCTTTTGTTATTGATTTTTAAGCTCTTTCTGCTCTCCAGCATATTGCCACAGATTTAGGAAAATACCTGTTGTGCTGTACTAGTAACTTGCTGAAAAAGCTGATTTGAAAACATTTAACAATAATTTTTTTTGTCTCCCTTTCCCTTTCCTCTTTCCCAGTGGTCCCACCAGGGAGTCCTGGACCTATTACTCGCCATGAATCATATGACAGCTTGGCATCTGACCACAGTGGGCAAGAGGATGAAGAGTGGCTGTCCCAGGTTTGTCTTTTTGGGGAAGGGCAGTTCCATGTTAGGAGTGACTCAATAATAATATCTGTTAGAAGAAAAATTCTGAACTTTATTCGCAATACAGTATCTCATTTTACTGTTCTAGTGACTTTCCATTATAGTGGACCACCTCAGAATAAAAGAATAAGGTGAACCTGCATTATGGGGGTTGGTGTATTACTAGTTCTGGGTAGATACAGAAAGTCAAAGGAACTTCAAATTACTCAAAATTCATCACATCTATTCTGTACTACACGAGTAAATATATTTATAGGAAAAAAAACAACCTCCAATGGCGTTACTTAGAACATAGAATTCAGAGAATGCTTCAGGAATGTGTAATTTTTGCTAGGTGGAAAAGGGTGATGATATCTCTTTTGAACACGAAGATGCTAGTGTTCGCTAAGCAAGCCACTTTAGATTAAGCCTAAAGAGCAAGGATGTTTTTCAAAATTAAAGTGTTGTTATCAACAGTAACAGCATGCAGTGAAAAAACACTGCCCTTCACTTCAACTTTTCAATTAGAACAGTGGGTAATGTGTGCTGTCAGTGTGAAGTAGATACAATATGTTTGTCCTGCACACAACAGGAGAGTGAATAGGAACATCTGGCCGTAGCCTCAGTGAAATTGCAAAGGCATCTGTTTACCTCTCGGCTCTGTGACACTGATGGTTTCAAGCTTAAAATATACAGATTACTTTATCTGTGGCCTAATTTACACTGCTACATAAAAGCTACTTGACTCAGAAATGTCTACAGTCAGTCTGAGTTACGCGAAGATAAATGTAAAGATGGAAATAGTGCTAAATAGGCTGTGTATTTGTCATCTTCTGTTAGCAGAGAACTATCTTAGAACATGATCTAGTGTTAAATATTTCTTCTTGAAGAATTAAGACTCACTAGTAGTACAGTAATGTAAGAGTAAAGAAAACCAAGATAGGTATCTCTATGCCATAAATTACAGGAAGGTATTTTCATGAAATTCTTTACTAAGTTGCATTCTTCTTGTGAAGCTAATTACTGCTTTAGCAAAACCTGATAGTAATTTAATAGTCTGTTGTGTCATTCTAAAACTGTGAGTTCACCAATTTTCATGTCATATTGGCAGTTCCAGATGAACATCTCATGTGTGTTGTTTCACACTGAAGCAAACATCTTTGTCTCTTAAATTGTCAGAATTCCAGTTAAATGAATATATGTATGACTTAGCTGCTGTTCTAAACTGCATGTTGCATATATATATGCTTATACTACATACCATGCAATGAATATGACCTGAGCTATTCAGTCTTACATTGTGCTCCCCATTGCTCGCTCTGTCACAAATTATGTTGCTTTTCAGCAAGCTGGTTGCTGCCAGCAGCCTCCTCACATATGCCAGTGATGATTATGAGCTTTGGTTTGAAATACAGTTCGCAGTCCATACATGTGAAGCAGTGCTGTTTAATGTGTGAACTCCTCGAAAGCCACAGTAACAAAGCTGTAACAGCTTGCTTTCTGAAAGTGCATTCTTTAGCCTGCTTGGGATTAAAGTTATTGACAGGCATGTTTGGTGGAGAAGGACTTTGAGTTGCTTTGTCTAATCCATGCACATTCAAACAGAAATCTGCCCCTGCATTTTTTGTGGCTGCAGTGCTAGCTTGTGAGCTTTTGAGTTGCAGCATGTGTTTCGTAATGGCAAGGGAGAGTAGTGAACAGAGTCAAGTGAACTGATTGCTAAGCTGCAGTTTTGTGGCATTTTGCAATATCCTGACAGGTTGAAATAGTGACTCACACTGGGCCTCATAGGCGCCTGTGGATGGGCCCACAGTTCCAGTTCAAAACAATCCACCCATCTGGCCAAACAACAGTCATTTCGTCGAGTTCTTCAGTGCTGCAGTCCCATGGTCCAAGTGACACCCCGCAGCCCCTTCTGGACTTTGATACAGATGATCTAGATCTCAACAGTCTCAGGTAAAAATAAAAATAATTTCCAAGCTGTTTAATGTTTTTTGTGTGAATAACTTGTTTTATGCTTAAGTGAGCCCAGCCGTGTGGAATGTGTAATTGCTTTCATCGAGATTGTCCAGATGAAAGACAAGGACATGTGACTTAATAACAATAAACCTTCATCCAGGCCAGACAGCTTCGAATCCTTCCTGTTACTGCTCCTTGCCTAAGTGACAGCGAAGGCAGCGGCCGGCTGCCTTGTGCACCCACCCTGTGAGAAGTCCAGCACCTCCCTGCCTTCCACAGGTTCTGCATTGCTCATGCACAATTAGGAGCTTTAGGCCTTAGATTTATATGCAGACTGTAAAGTGGTTGGTGTGTTGGAACAGTAAGTGGAGGTATGGAATGGATTTCCCTTCCGCTTCACTTCCTTTTCTTGCTTTTTTAAATTTTCTTCCTTCCCTGTCATTTCTGGTTTGTTTGGTTTGGCAATGCTCACTTTTTGTATAATCCTGATCTGTCTGTGCATGGATTACCCATGTTTTGTTTCTACAAAGCAAAGGAAAAGTCAAGTTTTCAACAGTTGGTTGATTTTTAACAGTAGTGGTAGCTCGCTGGCTCAGTCAGATTTGTGATTTAGTAAAAGCCCTCCTGAGCAATGGTGTGCATGCACGGACACCTGTGCCTTGTCTTCCAGAATTCAGCCCGTTCGCTCGGAACCCGTTAGCATGCCAGGATCGTCACGGCCAGTTTCCGATCGCAGAGGAGTTTCCACAGTGATTGATGCTACCTCAGGTAGAAATATGTTGATTTCATTTCTTAATTCATGGCATTCATTGACCTTGTCTGTTTTTTCTGATGAAATGTTTACTAACCAATGCCATACAATTAAAAGGATATCAAGACTTTCAGCTGCACTGTAGGGTAAGTGCCCTTTTACATAAACACGAACTGAAGACTATCATGATAATGACTCTTCCTCTTATCACTCAATTTTGAAGTCAAAGCACTGTTGTAAAATACCAATGTGATACTGAATTCAGTTTAACATGAGCTTCTGTGCCTAAACTCAGAAGCAGAACATGTGCAAATGCTAATGCTGAAATGCTCATATTAATGATTGCCTAGAATATACAATTACACTTCATTTATAAAATACCTTTCATTGAAACGTAATCGTAGAAGTTATATTGATTTTTTTTGTGAACATTCAAGACAACAAGAGTAGCTTAATTTTCCTGCATGAGGCGTGCTTTTGCTACTCCTCTCTGAAAGTGTGCAAATTTAATACAACAGTGGTTATATTAATATCAACATATGTTCTGTAAAGTTTTCTTTTTCTCGTAGTGCTGGGGTCTAGTCCGTATAAAGAAACACAGACAGCAGTGCTTTATATTGCAGTGCAGCTGTCGAGCATCTGAAGGTTCCACCCAGCAGGATTTTGTCAAATCAAATCTCTCACAAGTAGAATATTAAACACACAGCATTAGTCAAACAGTCAAGTCGGAGAGGATTTTAATCTTTAGCGATTTCAAAATCCCTGGAGACTACTGATTGGATTGAGGTTAAACTGTGAAAGGAAACTGTAACACATACAGAAACTGATTTCTGATGGTTGTTTTAGAGAGAGATGAAATAAGAGCTCCTGTTTCAGACTGTTTTCTGTGGATATACATTCAGAGTCCAAGTTATAGCATTGTTTTCCAGATTAATTTCTTTTTTACAGGGTATTACAGGATGGATAGATATTATATATGTGTGTGTGTGTGTATACATTAGATTTTTAGATTGGTGTCTACAACTGAATTCAATAATAACTACATTTACTTTTGCTGTTGAGGATTGTCGTTATAAATTCCATTTTCACATATCTGGAACTGCTTACTTGAAGAGACTTTTAGTTGCTTTAGTGTATGTCAAAGTAATTTTAAAATAATTGTGTAATACATAAGAAAACACAAATGCACCGTATCTTCAGACCAGTTCATTTACGCCCATTACTCCTAAAAAGTTACAAGCTTGAATCACAGGAGTGCTTCTGTCTGAAACTTGAAATTCAGTGATTAATGGCACAGTTTTTCTCTACCAGTGTGGCTCTGCTGATACGGCAGGACAGCTGTGTGATCAGGTATTCTTTTCCTGTTTTTTCCTCTTGTGTTTCAATGGAGCAATGCAGCAACCTACAACACGGATACATTCTAATTCTAAACTCTAACCACAAAGTATTCTGTAAAAGCTTTGTTTTGTCTGCACTAGAAACCATGAACCGTGCAGGACTTGGCCCCTTCTGTGCTGAACAGCCTTTCCTACCGTGTGGATGGGCCCTTAGTGTAGAATGACTCGTATGAGTGTGATGAAGCTCTCTTGGTGTAATGCCTTTAACATGTGTATCCATATTAAAATTGCCAAAGTCAATTGTATACATTGTTATGACACTAAAAATATATTTACTGTGCAGCAGTGACTCAGTTTTGTTATAACACTTCATAAGTTTCTTATAAACAATACATGGGTTTTGTTAGAGACATGCTGATAGCAGTATTTTATTTAACTTCATTGCCAGATGATTTGGATTGAAATTGGTTTTTGATTCAGGGACTTTAACATCTATTTACAGTTTTTTGCATTGCCTGATTCCCAGTCCTTTCCCATGCAGAAACTCTTGCTCCATATTAATGGTAGATATCCCAGATGAAGTGTGGTGGTTCAGAGATGTGAACTCTGTTGTGGAGTGAAAGAGATGCAAGAAACAATATGTACTGTTTCTTGAGACCTCGTGCTATTCCTCTAAAGGGTCCAGCAAAGGAAGAGTTACTTAATGCTTTCTTTCTTTTCTTTCTACCACTGAGGTTATTTTTCAGTATTTATTAGTTATACAGAAAGCTGCATTAAGCTCTGCTTTGAATGTAAAGGTTTTATTTTAAATACTGTTCATGTACGATATTATATTTATTCTATTACAGTCTACTACTGTAAATATTCTCATTTCCTGCTGTTACCAAGGCATAATGTAAATGGCTTAAATTCTTTATGAAAAACAAATTTATTGGAAAATACGTTTTTAGGTTTGAGGGATTTCTTAAGTAGGTCATAAATTTTTAGTGCCTAAGCTGAACCAGGAAGTGATTCTTCAGCTCTGACCCGTGCATTGAATCTGTTGCACTTTATGAAGATGCTTATCTGGCTGTTTGACTGCCTGTTGCTTAGAGATACGAGCAGTGTGGCGCCTCCTCTTATCTAACCCCATCGCTTGTTCTTCCCATCAAAAGATTTCAAGTATGTGTTTATCATCTAGAATTATTCTTGCAGCAAGCTTTGTAGCTCCCTCCCCTCTTCCCTGGTGGTGACAACTCCGTCTTTGTGTTTAATAAGGCATTTGTGTAGCTTTTTCGTATTTAAGTATGATTGTCTCAACTTCTGTTTTTTAGGTCTTCAAGAGCTCTTAGGAATTGAAGGTGGTCTTTTTTAATGGAATTAAGAAAATTTTGCAAAATGTTAGTTACCTGGAGCTGCTGGACATTTGCCCTGCACTGCACACGTTTCAGTCATGTGCATCAGACAGAGAATACACCCTCAAGCAGTAGATGCACTGCAGTTCCAGATGCTGTTCCAGACTGGCAGTGTTCAGGGGACAGCCCTGGGTTTCAAAGCCCTGTGCAGTAGGAAGCTGTTAATATTCAACAAAAGCAATCTTGTTACGTGCGTGGGACGTGCACACAGTGCGTGGCAACCGTGACCGTGCTCGTCTGCGCCCTGCCTTTCCAGGCCAGCAGCGTCGGGGTTTAGCCAAGGGCAGGGGGGTCTCCTCAAGATTTTGGGCTTGGATTTTGTGGCTGCAGGTAGCAGGCTAGATGGGAGATGCACTGAGCAAGTTGGGTTACCTTTGATCCTTATTGATCAATCATGATCAATGACGAGATTTTTGCACCATCAGCGGGGCAAGGAAATGTTGACGAAGGAAAAGGGGTCTGATCTCTTTAGCTGCGTCCACCTTTTAATTTCCCCCTCAGAGGGAGGCTCTCTGTCTTGGGGAAAGCATGCAATTAAATTCTGGTGCTAAAGCTCTTGGAGAACAAAAAGAATGGCTGGAATTAAACAGCAGGAGAAGCAGTAACCGAGAGCACACGGATCCGCGTGATCCTGGGCCGTGGGAGCCCGCAGGCCCTGCTTCGAACGCCGCGCATGCAGCGGAGAGGCTGCGCTCAGGAAGCAGCATCGCCTTTTACCGGAGCTGTTTGTTGCTGTTGTACAAATCTCTGCACTGACAATGCTGAGCTCGCTTCTGATTGCCTCCATCAATGCCCGCTTAAAACTGGCTTGTAACTTAGTGCTTCTCTCTCTTTTGTGCGCAGCCGAGTAGCCCTGGCCAGATAGCTCGATGCCTGCGGAGAGGTTAATGAACGGGAGAATTGCCGCAGGTTTGGGGCTGGCCTCCCTCCCGCCGCCTGCCAAGGCCCTTTTATTGCTCATCGGAACACCTGCGAGGTAGGGAGCAGGGGACAAATCTTTACTGTCCAGCAGTGCTCTCACTTGGAATTTAATAAACACTTCTGCTGTCACACCTTAAAACATCTGAGCTCTTTTCTGTTGTATGTGCAATCAAATATTTATTCCCCAGTGCTGTACACCAGAAAGTGCTGCCTTGGAGTAGCAGAGATCAGTTATTCAGGTAGTAAAGATGTGTGAATGCAGCTGGCAGATGAAGTCACCAACATAATGAATTCCCAGCCTGTCCTCGTTGCCACAGGCAATAACCGCAGGCCGGAGCAGCGGTTGCCTGCGCGTCCCGGCGTCGCCGCTGCCGCGCGGAGCCGGCCGGGGGCTCGACCCCCCCAGCCGAAATCGATAGGGGCTCCAGTCCTTGACCCGGGCCTGTAATTACCTGGGCAGCACAAAGGTGCCTTGTTGCTGCAGAGAGCGAGTGCGCTGCGCTCCGCCGCGTCCCACGCCGAGCTCGGAGCCCGCGGGGGATCTGTCCTTTAACCCGCTCTTCACAGCGGGGTTGTGTCACGGGCGGCTCTTAGGGGACGTCACGGGTTTAGTGACACTCTGCGCCTGTGCCCAACACTGCTTGTTTGGTAATCCTGCGCTATTTAAATGACTTTAACTTATGGCTCTTTCCTGTAATAACTTTTGAGCAAATTCTACTTATGATATCTATTTCAAACCATTGTTATGTAACTTATTTTAAGTGTTTCAGGCACTGTTTCTTGAATAGGAATGAAACTGGGATACACTCAGTTTTTCTTCTCTTAGTGAAATAGCCCAGCCTGTGTGTGCACATGCTTTCTCCACCCATCCATCCAGTTAAATAAATGCGTGTGTGAGCTGCATAATGCAATTTAGATTTTTTTCAGCTTTATCTAGCTGATCTAATTTGAGAAAATGTTATCTGATGGTTTTTGAAGAGAGCCTTAAGACAGAAGTGACTTCAGCAGACTCCAAGATGCCAGCGCAGTATATATGATTACTTCTAGAAACAGCTATGCCCTATAGACTATGCAGATATGAGGAGAAATTAAAACGACCTGACACCACTGATTGGGCACTTGCTGCTGGATCCCTGCCTGGCTGGGAAGAAGCGGCAGCTGCAGGGACGCACGCGGCAGCGCGGATGGCTGGGGTCACTGCTGCGTGTGCTGTAGGCAGGGGGGACACGCTGAAGAGGGAGAGCGTGGTGACAGCGCTGCGGTGGAGCCTAGCACGCTTACTGCATAGGGGGTTTGTATTTGGTCACAAGTGGGTTGGGCTGCTAGTTCTGGAGAGGACGTGCAGGAGGGTGAGGGCTTCTCGAGCCCCTCGTCCTCACCAGCGGCACAGGCTGTTGTTCCTCACCCTGGTTTGCCCTCAACTTAGCTGGTGAGACTGGCACTAGTTGGAAAAATTAAGTTCTTCTAGGGAGGTTGTGCTTTGGTCTGTAGCTGTTGGTCAGCTATGGATAAATGGTCTGATGTGCAAGCTGGGTTCACAGAGGCAAGTGAAAATGGAACGTTTCTAGTCAGTGCTGGCTTAGGCTGAGGCTGAGAAGGTGCTTAGGACCACGTAGTCCCACCTTTTTCATCTTAATACTGTTGGGTTTTAGTTAGTTTATTTGGGGGGAGGACTCTGACAGTAAAATCAGCAGTTTCTGTATTGACACTGTAGCTCAGTGGAGCCATCGCAGTGACCTCACCAACGCAATAATCAAACACAAAACAGGGGAAATTTTCTTCCTCTGTTCCAGTGCAGTTGCAGGGGGCCCTCCAGGGCCTCTGTGAACAGTCACTGGTGCCAAGCTCTTGCTTGAAGCCTGTTGTTCTCGTGTCACACAACCCACTTGACGCGTGTACCAGTGGTCCATTAATGCAGACGGTGCGGTGGCTTATTGCTTAAGTGATACATCCTAACTTCCAGTTGGGAAAGCCACCTTCAGTTCACATAACGGTTTGTCAGCTGAAAAATAGCAGTGTGGTAGAGGACGCTCTGTGTCCAAGCACATACAAGGTTCCCACTTATTCATGGGGGAAAAATTCCAAAATGTGCAATAGTTATTTTATATATCGGTAGCTAAAGCGTGCTCACTTTGAGCATAAGATTGTCTTACGTACCCTTTAATTTCATTAACAGTTGTTGTTAATGTTTTGCATAGATATCTTTAAAGGCCAAAATAAGTGGAAAGTGTTGATTCTAATCTTATCTGACACCACAATCTTCCATGGAACAACACATGAGCTGAGATTCCCGATGGGCTCCTGCCGGATACAATATTTATTATTGCTTGAGATCTAAGAGCTCCTAGCTACTGTTAAACCTACAAGACATCCAGAAACCTCAGTGTCTGTGTTTGTGTTTTTATAGATTGCACAGAAATAACACATCGTACAGTTCATTGACATTTCTGCTTTTTATAAAGAGCTTAAAGGAGTTGTTTCTGCAAATCTTAGCTTTTTTGTATTAGCCTAGTATTGTATTGTCTTAATATTTTTTGTATTGTGTTATACACTGATCTGTTAATCTAGGCTATTTTAAATGTTCTTAAAGTGGTATTAGAAGTGAAAGTTAGGAGATGAGTATTTGAACATCCATTTGCAAATGGCTCTTTGTCTCTGATATTTTTTCAGGACAAGCTTACATTTAGAATCAATTTGAAATAAATAGGTGTATTTATTTAATGATTTCACTAAATTAGGCCATCCTTCAGAGTATTTGCAATGAAAAATATTCTTGATTATTTCCTGTTTCAAGTGCATCTCCTCCGCTCTGGACTCTAGCCTCTGTTAGATGCTGTGGTCCGTTTTGCATTCTCCAGCTTGTTCTCCAGCACTTCCAGGAGCTATTTTGGAAAGTTTGCCCTGTTCTCTAGAGCATGGCAGCTACCTGGAAAACACTGGTTGTGGTAGGCCCCTTAGAGCAGTGAAATTCAGGAGGTGTCAAACTGGGTGTGAAGCAGCCTCCAGAAAGGCTTTCAGATGCAGTTTTTTAAAGAGTGGATGGAAGGCAGTGCCTCTGCTGCTGAACAGTGTTGCCTAGTTCCCTACTGAATTCTTTGAATTCTATTTTTTTTTAATTGTGTCCTTCATTAGGTGACAAAAGTGCCTCTTTTTTTAAAAAAAATGTATGCAGGGATTTGTTTTATTTTTGTTTTCTCGTCTTCCAAGTAGTGAGAGGTCAGCGCTTCGTTTTAAATCAAAGCGGTCTCCAAGAGGGAGCAGAAACCGAGGAAGGCAGTTGCTAACAGATACCTTATTGTGTACCCTGTGATAGCAGAGTGCGCAGCGTGCAGGTTGGCCTGCAGTGTCATCCCAGAAGTTAAACGTGATCATGGTAATATTTGTGTTAACCCAACGTGGATATTTTCCTGAGCCTACCAGTAAGCGTTTTCTCATGTCCGTTTCTTTATACTACACGATAGTTTTATGGATAATACTTGACCGTACTATAAAATAACAAATTGTATAATATTCATTAATATTTGCCCAGCCCCGGATAACTGTGCCTTTTCAAAGCAGCACAGGTTTAATGTCTGATTCCTGTACTTTAGGAACGACCCATTTCAAATTTGACAATTATTGCTCTGGAGTAGATGTTCCCCCAACCTAGAGATAGTCAAACAGGTATTAATAGGCTAAATGGCTTTAAACCAGAGTGTTAGTATTCACATATGATTTTTCATGATGTATTTTCAGAATAATAATTTTGACAATTGTTAATCCAAATTTGGTGGATTTTAGCTGTTATTCATTAGGTTCTAATATGGATGGATGAGTGAGCAGATGTGTGCTTTTTAGGTGCACCATATAGAATCAAGCTATTTGGCATGAAATATTAGCCATATATTTGAGGTATTTTAAGGTGGAATTTAATAACTACTGAGGGGGATTGTTAATCGCTGCGTGTTCATCTTACCTGTGCTGGAGCAAGGACATTTGCTGTTGAAAACATAAGTTATAGTGTGGTGGTATTTACTTGTCCAT